GATGGATGAAGATGAGAAGATGAAGATTGATGATGAATGATGATGATTGATGATGATTGATGATGATGATGTTGATAAGGTCAACTAATGATCAAAAACAACATCAATAACAACAAATTTGTTTATACTTTCGGTAATGATAATGATAATACTAATCATTTTTATGATAATGACGATGATTATGACACCAATCATGATAACACTTAAATTATAGTGATGACCATAATGATGATAATTATCCAAATATTTAATTTGACAGTGATGGAAATGGTGATTGTCGATAATGCGGATGATGTGAAAACAATAATGATAAAGATAATAATAAAAAACGACAGCGATAACAACCAATAAAAAATAAGAAAAGGATGAAGAAGAATAAGCCTAAAAGATAAGAAGAAAGAGAAGAAGAAAAAGAAGGAGAAGAAAGAAGAAGAAAGAAGTAAGAAAAGAATGAAGAAGAGGAGAGGAAAGAGAAGAAGGAAGAAGGAGAAGGAAGAAGAGAAAGGAAAGAAGGAGAGAAGAAAGGAGAGGCAAATAGAAGAAAAAGAAAGGAAAATGAAGAAGAAGAAAGGAAGAGCAAGTAGAAGAAAAAAAAAGGAAAAAATAGTTGAAAATGAAGAACGAGGAAAGAGAAGAAGTAGAATAAGAACGACCAAGAAGAAGAAAGAAAGAAAAACAGAGAATAAAAGAGGAGGGAAGAAAAAATGAAGAATGAGAAAAGAAAAGATGAAGAGAAAGAAGAAGAAAAGAAGAATAGAAGAAGGAAGAAGAAGAGAACTAGGAGAAGAAAAGAAAAAAAAGCTACAAAGAGAACTCAACTCCGTGCACTCCATCATTGCCATCACTCACTTTACTCCTCATCTCACGTGTAAAAAGAAGCATCATTGTATATTGCGAACATGGCATATTTACCTCATAATATCTGTAATAAACGTTGTTCGCTTGTTTCGCAACGATAAGACGATCCTGCCACCAGCTGTTTTATTTGTTAGTTCAGTCTTGTTCTTGCGATAAGAAAGATACTGTGGCAGTTTAATTAGTGGAGTGTGAATTGGCTTCATTGCGAACTCTATCGCGCGAAAAAAGACGAAAGAATAACGCAAATGAAGGCGATTAGATTCTCTCTTTTTGCCTGTGTTATCGAAGACTCTTTGATCCTACTCAGTCGGCGAAGGAGGATTGGCGTGGAAGGATATGAACGAGGGAATGGCAGCTGCTGTCTGTCTGATGGGGTCCTGGCTGGTGGATTGGCGTGTCGTCTGCTTCTTCGATTTTCTGTCTTTTGATTTTTTCTTTTTTTTCGTTTCTTTTTTCTTTTTTCTCTCTCTCTTTCATTTCTCGGTATTCCCTCGGTGAGGATTTTTTTTTTTTTTGCAGATTGGATTTTGGTTTTTTTTTTTTTTGGGGGGGGGGGAGGGGCGGAGGGTTAAATGGTGATTGCAAGAAAAAAGTAGATGAAGGTAGTTGTAGCAGTAGTAATGAGGGCGATAATAATAATACTGGTACTAATGATAACAATGGCAGCGTATTAAGATAATAGAGGCAATATGAACACTAATGATTTTAACTAGTGTAAATAATAACGTCAGTATTTTCTATTTAACATTACCATTATTAAGAAGTTAATAATAATACTACAACAGCACTACAAAAAGTACTACAGCTACAGTCTATAAAAAGTAATACTACCAATAAGAGCAAATCATATAAGACCCCATAAGCAATCCGAGTCAGGGTCCTTGTCAAGTACTATTAAAAAAGTTAATATTTCTGACGGACTTTTCTGTTATCTGAGAAATCATCTCGACTTGAAGACAGGTTACGGAGAAAGATTTTCTGCAATATTCGGTTTCAAAAATTTTTCAGATTGTCTCTCGATTCTTTCATATGACGAAGTGAAAAATGGTGTCGTTGTGAATGATATGTATCAATATATAAGTAAAAATATTAATACGGAGGTGAAGAGACTTAAGCTAAGAAGTATTCAGTGTGTCATAGGCGAAGAATATTTAGTGCATTGGATACTGATGATGCAACAGGCTGGTCTTGCAAGGTCCAGATTTATGAGAACCTGTTTCTGTCCTCTGCTAATTATCTCTTATCAGAATGAATTGCGTCACAAGTATTTGCGCGTTTCTTCAACAAATTATCTTAATATTCGTGTATACTCAGAAAAATGGAGATGACGATGTATTGCAGCTTAAGGACCAGGTATATTAAACTAGATTTTTTTCTGACGCTGATAGTAAACTTTCCACTTCATTTATGCTGCTCTCAGATGGAGACGTTTGTTTAGGAATGGTGCACGTAATATCATGTATCAAGTGGGACTCTGAATCGGTCTAAATGTTATATTCATTCTTACTTGACGTTTTATTTTATTCATACGTAGGCACACACACACACACACACACACACACAAGGCTCGGTCTTTGTGGCGAATTTTATTATTTTCATCAAGGATTTACGGTCAAACATAGGCCCAGGTAGCTATCTGAATATGTTTGTAGACGACGCAAAAATACAAAGAAGGCTAAATAATAGAGTTCAGCACCAAAACATCTCATAAAGTTAGGTTCGAAAAAGGAGAATCAACATTAAAAACATCAGACAGGAAAACAGACCTTAGCATAATCATAACCCGAAACGAAACCCAGATGACTAAAGAATGCTATAGAAATGATTGCAAACATGGAAAGAGCATTCCGATACGGGGACGATGATATGGTAAAGGAAATCATTACAGCTATCATAAGACCTACTCTAGAATACGGTGCAGTGGTACAGAGGCGGCATTTAAAAAGGGGTATTGATAAACTGGAAAGAGTTCAAAGAGCAAGACGGACACCAGCTCTACGAAATATGAATTACGCAGATAGTCTCTAGAAAATAGGGATTACTGCTTGGGGAGGAAAAGTGGTGACAGGATTATGAAGATAGATAAAGATGATTTTCAATTTTTGAACACAAAAAGAACGAGAAGACAAGGAGGCGATAAGGATAACAAAAAATTTTGAAGCATGAAGCAATCTCCCTCATAACGTCGTGTGTGCCACAATTATGTAGCACTGTAGACAGTTATATGATTATACATATATAGCCAACGGGACCCCCTGAATGCTCTTCTCCCGTATTGAAACGCCTAGGTAAGAACATACACACAGAAAGAGAGAGAGAGAGAGAGAGAGAGAGAGAGAGAGAGAGAGAGAGAGAGAGAGAGAGAGAGAGAGAGAGAGAGAGAGAGAGAGAGAGAGAGAATGGTCAAAGGAAGAAAACAGCATTATGTTAGCATCCTATTACAAAAATAAGCCCCACAAGCAAAGGAAAATACACATGGCACATCCCCGTCTACGTGCTCGCATTCTTGCACCATAAGTAAGGGCGAAGAAGCGCTGCCACCATAACAAAGGCCAGTGACCCTGTAACTGACACTGGCTCTTAGTGACATTACTTCTTGGCCTTGACGTTCTGCTGTTCTTGGCGTGCGTTTTGACGTAAGACGTGTAATTAATGAAAGGTTTATGTGTCACACGTCTAGCATGTGTTTGCTCACTTTACTTTGGACGTAATGATATGTTGAGGCGTGGCATACGGTTCATGAGTCATGTTTATGGAGGTTTATCTCTGGGTGAGTGTGTGTATGATGTTTCTGTCAGCCTATATACTATATATTTTTTTCTATCTTTTCATCCATCACTATCTGTCTATCTATCCGTTCATCTATCAGTCTACCTACATGCTCTATGTCTGTCTATCTACACATACGTGGGAGTATGTATACGTGCAATTATGTATATCTGTATAATACGTTTATATATGTTTATGCAAAGGTAAATGGATTCTAAATTCTTCTGTTTAACCGGTACATTATGTAATGGCTCCTTAGTAGGTCTGCTCTATTTACTGAAAAAAATGAAAGCCTCAGTAGTGCCTTCAGACTGCTATACATAGTAAGCATGAGCACGACATACCTATTACACACTAGAGAGGCGTCAAAGAAGAAATGCCAATGTATTTTTTTTTCACTACACATATGTTTTAATAGATAAAATTACTTTTCTCTTTGGACTAGAAAAATCAGTAATGAATATCACAGGTAGCTACACATAGATATATATATGTTTTCTAAAAGCCTGCGACTCATGCATACCGCTTAAAGGAAACGGTTAAGCCCAAATCTTATGTGGTGTTGTCTACTGACATAAAACCATCATATGTACAGCTCACTGTAAATGTAATGGGCTCTATGCCCATAGAAACTTACAGGTAGATGTAAAACAAGGCTAGATAAGCTTCATCAACTGATATTTTAGGTTATTAGTATGATTGTCGTTTCTGGCATGAAGAGCTAACGTTCAGTAAAATCAGAATAGATTATTTAGTACCATGCCACCATCAGGTTTTTATTTGCAACTGCAGTTAATCATGAATGATTATCGTTAATCACTTCCATTGCAGTTAATTACAACTATTACGGTAAATTTTTATTAATAAAGATTATGAAATTAACAGTTGATTATCATCAATACAGCTAATCACCACTATTGCAATAGATCATCACCAGCCTTTATGGAAAGCAGTAATCACGAGCGTCCCTTCCCATCCCCAGGACCCAGTACAAAACAGTCAACCAATTCGAGGAGGAAGTCGTCACGCTGCGCATCTTCAGGTGCTGCCCCGGCTGGACCACCAAGGTCGGTGAATGGTGCAGTGTTGCGCTGCTTCCTTCCCAGGCCTGGCTTGGATTCTTTGGTTACAGGTTGAGCTAATTGGATTTGCTACAGGCTATTTGTTATTGGAATTAGTAAAAGTTATATTCAGAGCGATATTGATAAAGAGATTACAGGGTTTTAACTTTTTTTTTACGGATATTTTGCCACATTCTTCCTCGATCTGTCGACATCATCATTCCTGTCGTGAATTATGGGAAAATATTGAAATTAGAGAAATAAACAGAATGTGGAGTCTGGTAATGGTATAGAATTATATACCGTCAGTGA